TTATCAGACAATTGTACTCTTTCACTTAGGTACCAGACTCCTGTGTTTTTGCACACCTTTTCTTCTTTATTGATACCTATTGCCTACTTGGGATTCTTAGGTCACTAAAGTTCTTCCCCATCAGAGGGCACAAATTGACCCACACGTGTAAGTCCTGTACTTTTTAAAATGCTTTTCAAAAAAAAATAAAAAATAAATAAAATAAAATGCTTTTCCAAAAATGATAAAAGCCTCTTTTACTACCAGAGTTATGAGGCCTGTTTTAGTTATCAATAAAAGAAGTTGTTTCGAAAGTTTTAAATAGCGGAACTGAAACAGATGAAACCCGTAGCAGCCACCTTGACTTCTCTAGTCTAAATTGTATAGAGTAGAATCTATTATTACTGTGATTTTAGTTAGCTCTTCTTCAGGCAGTATTGTTCCCTAGGAGGCACTGGAACAATGCAGGGGACCTCCAAAACCAGATGCATAAACACTTTATCTTGGATTATGGCCTATAGTACAAAAGTTTTTTAATTGCCAGGGAGCACTGAGTAATTTTTTCCCCCTGATAAAAGTGTGGTAGGTCAATTATGTTTGGGAACCTATGCTCTACGCCATGCAAACGATTTTGTTGACAGCAGTAGTCCTTTATATGAACATTTCAGTAGTTCATAGTGTATGTTACCAAGAAACAGAAATTTGAGTTTTTCTCATTACTCAAAAATGAAGTAGTTCCTACGTGTCCCTCTCTGGAGGGAAGGGTAAGCAAACTGGTACATATTCACAATGGAATACTAGGTGTCACAGAAGAATAGCGATGAAACTGTGAAGCACCTCCTGGAACGGATGGGCAGGAAAACATTATGTTGGGTGAAATGAATCACAGAGACAACTATTGTACATTAGTTACCCCTGTTATAAAACAAAAATGAAGACAAGGGTTTAGGTAACAAGAGAAACGGGCTTTGATGGGGAGGGAGGGAGGGTGGGAGTTGGAGAGGGAGAGGTAAAGCAATAGGCTAGAGCAGAGGTCTTCAAACTTGACACAGAAGAGTTAATCCTGCCCTTCACAACAATTTAAAAAAATTTTGCGAGCCATAAATATATTTTTACAAACAAATGAAATCATTATCTGAATAATATCCTTTAAATAAAACTATAGTAGTTTTCTTTTCATTTTGTTCCTGAGAAATTCCTTAGTAATGGAATTTTCACAAAGCAAGTGTGAAAAGGGAAATTTACCTAAGTGCTTAAACATATTCTAGTTTTATTTTAATAGCCTGAAGCGGAGTTGTGAAAATGTTAGGTTCACTGGTAATTTGTGCCATTATGGGTACTGTTTGCTTTGGAAGAGTTTTTGCTTAATAACAGTTGATGTCATTTTTCCAGTCTTCCAAAAATTGAGCATGGTTTTACAACTTTTCACCTGGGGACTAAAATACTAAATCTTTAAAATACTCATCAACTCTGCTTGTGTTGATAATAGACTTTTTACACCCAGCCTTCACAGCCTGCATTTGCTCAGGGAAACTGTTGCTTCTGGGAGTAGAGGTAGCCGTAAGGAACCATTGTAAAGCTCATACTGCTTCTGCACTCGGTATCCTCTTCTGTGTGGCCAGCCCCGGTTCTTCACTGTGGCACACAGTGACCCTACTTAATTTACGTTCTCAGGTTTTCAAACTGCTTTCAGCCTCTACAGACTTTTCATTAATTGTGATTCATGGAGAATCTGGAATGAGACCATGTGCTCTATCCTTATCTATAAAGTAAGAGCAATCTAAGTAGTAATGAGAAAGAAGTTCATGAGTAAAAGTGCTGAAGGAGGAATGTGCTGCTCCATTTGCTTTGGGCCTAATGATCCTTTGCTAATTTATTTGTCTCCATTTTTATTTAGAAACCAAAGCTCCAGAGATGATCTGGAAGGCCGTATAAATATATTTAAAACTCACTATCCATAAAACCTCAAAGGAATTACCATTTTATGCACGCTTGAATGGCTAAAACAAAGTCACACTAGCAAATGTTGACAAGAATCTGAAGCAATCAGAACCCTCATACATTGCTTGGATTATATCTGTCCCCCTTCAAGGAAATTCAATAAGTACAACTTTTACTCAGATTTATGCACCAACCACAAAAGGTAGTGATGAAGCAATTTAAGAATTCTACCAATTATTTCCGTCAGAAGTTGATCAAACATGCAGTCAAAATGCATTGATAGTTACTGGTGATTGGAATGCAAAAGTTGGAAACAAAGATGGAGTTGGAAAACATGGACTTGGTGATAGAAATAGAAAAGCTGGAGATCATGTGGTAGAGTTTTGCCAAACCAACTACTTGTTCATAGCAAACACCATTTTTCAACAACACAATCAATCAGTACACATGAACTTCCGCAGTTGGAATACACGGAAATTGAAATGACTACATCTGTGGGAAGGCATGATGGAGAAGCTCAGTGTCAGCAGCTAAAACCAGATCAGGGGTCAAGTGTGGAATCAGACCATGTATTGTGGGCTTAAGGGGAGAGAGGTACCCCACAAATGATCACAGGTCCGGTAGGCACAATTGTACAGCGATAATAAGTAAAGATTATAGTAAAATCATAGAGAGCATGAGAGGTAAAAGATAGAGTCAAGTAATGGAGTCAGACACAATTCATGGTAGCATTGCTCACCTCAGCCCCGCTTGATGGTCCACGTGGGGGGA